ATACCGAGAACTATCCCTTTCAGGCACCCCCATCAAAGAAGTTGGGGAGGCCGAGTTCCCAGGCAGCATTTTCGCCTGTCACTTGACGCTCTCGCCTCGTATCAGATAATTAAAGGCTAAGTGCCTGAAACACTTGTCTCAATGAAAGTCGTATCAAACGCCTAGTGTGGAGGAGATCAGATCCATTTGTACAGATCACAACGGTTTCATCATAATGTTTGGGCATAGAGCCTAGTAACTTGAGATATTCAATACATCATCAGGGATTGAGACTCTGTCTTGGAGCTTTCAGGAACCTGTCCTGTCGACAATTTATACGTATACGTAGATTGCTTCAAAGAACACCGTCTTAAACTCTCATTTTAATATATTGTTAAATTACACTCATATCTGTCAAATTCAGCCAATAATTGCCATCCTTTGTATGAAGAATTATTTCAAACTAATCCCAAACTTGTTCCCCCTCTCGGGATCAGAATTCAGCATAGCAAGTACACATCCCTTGTGAAACCGGAGGTAGATACCACCACCCTTGCTAATTTTAGAAATCAGAAACAGCCTAATTAGCCAAAATAATACGTCCAAATAAGATCCAAATTTGGCGATTCTCGTCGCTCTATATTTACTGATGGGTCCTAGCTATAGGTTGTTACTAGTGCCACTGTCGTTCGAAGTATTATATCTTCTAGAATACAAGGTAATATCTCCATATTTACAAATAGCCTTGGACTATATCAAGCAACAAGGTATGGGTGAGTCACAACCAACTTCCTCATTTGATCCGATACTTCCTTGGTGCATACTTGCCTCTGTAACGAAGTAAACTTATTCGACATTCACATCTGGTCCGTGTGCGCCATCGGACCTGGGGCAATGACAATGATGTGTGGTATTTTGAACAAGCGATTACCATCTGTTGACTATTTCATTGATATAGAAAATATACATATAACATCCCTTTCGTTTTTCTTTTTTTGTGCAGAGTATATAACCCTGACATGGTGGGGAAGTGGGGTGGTTATTTGCCCAAAAGACCTTCATAACTGTTTATTCACGCTTCGTGTGGCATATTAAAATTGAACGTCTTGATGGAAAGAGCAGGTAGACTCACCTGTACATTAGGCCGACTCTGGAATCAGGCACACCATCCGTTTGGCGAGTTAAGTTGTTCTACTCAAGTATACACTCACATTAATATTATAAGAAAATATTTTGCTGACGGTATTAATCAATCCGCATAAAAAGAGAGACTGTTACAATGAATTGCGATTATTAACATCATCTACGTGTATTCATGAACAAATAATACATAATCTTTCACAAAATTTTAAAACGTATATACAAAAATTACTCTTAAGGATCTCACTTACTGAGTATATTTCCATAGTTTCTTATAGCAACAGGACATATACGGGTCAGACATTATACAATGTACTAGTGAGAACATAGGAATTACCATGAGAAAGCTGGGTTGTTTTTTAAATGTTCCCGATTTCAAAAGTGACAATTCATTTAAAATGTTGCATTCGTGTCACAATATAGTCACTCAAGTTTTCATCAATCGGCGGAATATCACATCACCCATTTTCGAGCTTCTCCGCACCCTAACATTGCCGATGTACATGTACATGGTATATACCTTCAAGGTAAGGTTCTACATGTTGTTGGAGTTTGTTATCGCCTGTGTCTGAGACTCGGTTACACATAATTAGTGTACAACTTCTCCAGGATAATGAAACATGGATGGAAATCAAATGTTCATAATGAGGAAGGTGATGCCATCTGATTCACAAGACAGCTTTAATGACTTATAAATCCCAACTCCGAACTTATGCTTAAACTACCACACCACACATTCGCGAAAGCATTACTTGAATGTGCTGTTTTACATCTAGAGAAAAACACAACGAGTATTTATCTATTCAAAATATGGAAAATCTTGAAAGATGTATTGCATTACAAAAAATCATGACACCGGTAGCTAATTAAGTCATCGGTTATAACATTGTTTGTTGGCACACGTGACCAAACATACAGTAAAAGGGTATGTCAAGGTGTAGGAAACTACTTAGATGCACGAACGACAATGGGTGTACATAACACATTAATTATAAATTAATACAATATATTTAACTGTCTTACTGACCATCTGTCCGAGTGTTATAACGTGTTTCAATGTATATGTCCTACACTTATTTCCTAATGACTCTTAACATATGGTACACACAGATATATCGTTATTGAATAGTTAGTTTATACTTAAATAACATGGGAATTAAAGCTAATGTGTGTAATGTAAATGCGTATATATAAAAACAGTTTTGTAGGAGTAATGCACTTCGTATTGTTACCAACGTTAAACATGTGGCCACACTAATCAGGTGAGGTGAAATGGGGTTTAACGTCGCGTTCATGATTATAGCACTTGTATTGCGACGTGCATGCATGTGTGGGTGGGTGTGGCGCTTGTACTAGTCCGGACTGCTGCCGAATTTAAAGTGCTAGCCCACTGAGATACCATGCCCCAATTTAACATGAATACTCCACTCAGACACAGTAAACTGACTCCGAGCCGACCAGCCCTTGTTTTAGCCCCTTAATGCCGAGGGTCAGACAGGGTTACAGCACGTACCACCTTTTAACGTCTTTTGGTGTGATGCGGCCGGGTATCCAATCCGGTCTCCTCCCATTAGTAAGACAGCCCAGTTGTGAGACACAACAATGTCATACCTGGTTGCACATGTTAATCAGGTAATTAACCCCTATCATGAAAATGGACTTGTCTTATTGTAGACAAAAGAAATGACTCAAGATGCTTGATACCCTCTTTTACTTTATTTCATTCAACATTTTAATTCATCCATCCCTTAAATCCATTGTTTTAACATATTCGCCACTTAGAGTTCAGTTAAAGTTAATATCACAGTTCACATCACAGTTCACATCGAGGTTGTCACACTGACACAACCTTAATCCATCTTCAGAAGTTTGCCAACAGCATTCAAGAACTGGAGTGGTGTCTTGACACCCAGCTGGGATAGCTGATCCTTCAGTCTGGAAAGTCGATTGTCAATCTCCTTGTACACACGCTTTCTTGCTGGTGGAGCTGCACCTAGGTCTAACTGAGATAGCTTGGTCTTCTCAGATTTCTCCATCTTTTTGATGATCTCGATGAACCTGTAGAGATTAGGATGACGATGATTCAGTGATGCATTGAGGCGACTGTGGAAACCCTCCAGGTTGTTGTTGGTCCTTGGGCCGAATGTCTGGTGATGGTTCCACAGCGAAAGAGGGAATCTGGCTTCATAATCCACCCAGTTTGTGACTATGTAGTCGTTGAATTCGTCAGCATTCGGTACATCGGGAGACTGGTTCATGGAGTCAATCCATGCATCCTGAACCTGTTGAAGAGGCAGCAGAGGCAAGGCAGCAGCTCGTCGGATCCACTGTTCCACAAGGGGGTTATCACTGTATCCAACAGCAAGACCAAGCTGTTGTGTCTTCCGCCAAATCGCCTGGGTAAAGTGGAAGAAACACCCCTTGATGTCTGAACCTTGAAACTCTGTCTGGAGGGCTCTAATGGCAGCAACTTCAAAGACCACCTGGAAAGTCTCTGTGTTGAATGGTTGGTTCAGTAGTTGTTGGATGTGGACCTTCAACTGAGCAAAGAGGCGTTGGTAAGTTGTAGTCAGTTGCTGACGATCTATTGTTCGTTTCTAGATTGTATTGTTGAGGTATAGTTTCCATTTTTAAATGTTCTCAAAGTAGTTGTTTTTAAAAAATGTTATATACTGCTTCTTGTTTACCTTTAAAGAACGATAGTAATATGATGTAATTTTTTAACATTTTCAAGTCACAATATGACTGAAATATGGCCGACAGGACTTTTCTTAACTTACTCCTTATACAGCAAACTCACAGCTGTCTGCTAGCTGACTTAATCTTCTGTTCGGTCCGATTACCATGATCAAAGTTGACACTCTCTCAAATACAAAATGCTTCTTGGGTATTAAATGTGTTCTGTCATAATTTACGCTTGACCCTACTTGTCATATCTTGTCTGGAATATAAAATGCTCCTTGAGTATAAAATGAACACTGAGTTCTGTCATAATTTACGCTTGACCCTACGTGTCACAATCGACAACTTGGTCATAACTTTTAGCAGCCTTTACAACTTTATCCTTCCAATTAAGCTCAGCAGCTTTCACATGGTAATCCCATCCAACTTCAAAGTTCCTCCAATTGCTAGATGCATGAATAACATATCTGATGCGTACTGGAATCTGGTAAATTGTCATATTGAATCGTCAGATTCAAAGTCAAACTGCCTTACCGTGTTACATTTCCTATTATCATACCTCCATGTCAGAATAATGAGATCTGATTGGTCCACGTGGTTTTGTTGAAATGCTGTGTATCCCGCCTTCGAGGGGAATAAGTTTCTGAGCGGAAGAATATATCCCCTATTCCCCGCCACGAGCAATACAGGCTACACATGGATTACTGAGAGGCAGAATAAATCCGTTGCACCCCACTTCAATGCAAAAAGCCGCAGGCCTTTCCCGAGTCAATGAAAGTCACGTGACGCAATCGAAAAGCTATTTTATATCAATTTTAAATTTGTTTGAATTGGTTTACAATGTCATATTAAACGGATGCCTAAAACCCGATGCACCCCTCGTGATACTACTGCGACTTATAATAGCGTGTTGTGTACAGTGGTTTGGATGTATCGGCATTTGTGTACGTGTGTAACATCTCCTCTACCATCATGTCTACAAGCCAAGTGCTAGTAAATAACATTACACAGGCACAATGACCAATATAAATATCAAACGAGTCTTTCAAGTTGACTATTCTTTACGGTCATCCTGTACGTGGACAATACATGCTGGGTACTATGCGCGAGGCTTTGGGATATAGAGTTCCAGGGATCTATTTATTGAAAGTTGTACAAAGAGGAATGAAATTCGTGGTTAATACAAATCATACTCTGACTCGGTTTTGATGTAATTTTATTGTACATACAGTTCATTGATCAATACATCCGGCATCAATTGTCCTATAAGCAATCTCGAAATTTATTATCCTATTTCTTCGAAAACGTTCATCTGACCAGATAAAAATTGTTAACAAAACATGTGTCATGTCATTGCAGTTCAAGCGGATATATATTGTTATATACACATCGACAGCTTTCAATGTCAACATAAGTGGCAACGACAGCTAAAATAGTTATATCATGTTTTTATTGCGATATACATTAGTGTTTTCTATAGTTGACAAGCTATCTACAGTGACTGTTTTATGAAGAAAAGCAGGTTAAATATGTAACTAGAGCAAAAACAGATTCAATTCACGATTTAACTGTAACATAAGTTTTTTCTCACTTTAGCCCTCACTGGTCGTCGAAAGTTACAGTTTTACAGATGCGGGATGAATTCACACAGCAAAAAGAAAATACACCACTACATGTACTAACAACCCGCATATTGGTTTCTCTTTTTAATTTGCAATGACCAAATTTCAACACTATCACATTCCCATTTCATTTATAAATATTCCAGTAAGTTATTGTATTCGTTTGAACAAAAGTTTCAGCTTTTATGTCTTCGATGAAATGGCAAACATCAATGATTTGTCATCGGTCCTGCCACGTACTGATACACGGATAATTTAATACTCCTCAGGCAAATGATTTTGTTTGAAAAGTACATCTGTTGAACAAGCAGCAAATACTCTCTACCACTGATGTGATATATGATAAGGAAACAACTGTTTTATGAATATTATTATCGTAGGATTATGTTTTCGGACTTCCAAGTTTACCACATTTACTCCCGCTATAGCGAGGGGTGTTGCAACACTAGATATTTCAAATACTAGGATTATGGCTTGTTTTTAAAATACAGTTGTCTTTTGTAAATGTGTGAGATGTTTTACAGTTTTTTATGTGACTGGCGAGAAAACTACGAGTGTTTCTTAAGTGTCCGTAAACACATAATATGAGGCAATATTAAACATGATTAATAATAGCCCAAGAATAGGACATTAAGAAAAGTATCTAGGTTGCGTAAAAGAATGATGATAACGTTCAAACCCGTTAAGAATGCTTCATAAATTTTGTTGTATAAAAAAAAAATTCAAAATGGTTTGAGATCTGCATTTTTCCGTGTGCTCTCTGCACTTTCCTGCAAGAAGATCATGTTGGTCGTGGATCGTGTGCTCTGAATCCACAATTAGAATACACCCTATCAGCAAGTTTTTGTAAGTCTTTTGAGGACAACACAAGCGAAGATCTTTCCTGCAATGCTCAGCAAAGAGATCCATAGATATTTGTTAAAAAGCTTCTATCAACCTTGTTTAAGTACAAGGTGACAATGTTGCTGTCTCTCATGTCCTTCGGCAAGACTCCCTCTTCCCAACACTGAGGATTTATCGCCCACTTCTTCCATTACTAGAAGGTTCAAAATGGCTTCCAGTGGAGACTCAGAGCTTCTGTTTTCCCTGGAATACAGCAGATTAGTGCTCAAATAAGCGCTCACTTTAACTTGCCCCTGTCACTGATCAAATCACCCGTTGCAGATTTCAGGGGTACCGTTTTGCTTTGAGTTGGACCGATGTCTTACTTGAGGCTGTCGTACACATCTTGGAAGATCCCATCATCAGTTGATAATTTATAACCCTCGCAAACATGCAGCAAGGAGTAATTCGCGCATATTATTGCTGTTTACTGTTATTTGTTTCCATCTGTTCTGAGAGCATGCAGGGTCTTCTGGTTGGGATTGCGTTTGAATTCTCTGAGAATTTTGAGGATCAGAAGTCTCTCCATTCTATTCTTGCCAGTTCCGATTATTCTGAGCATTGAGTAGTTCATTGTTGATAATCGTGCATGCACCACGCATCTCCCGGAGGTCCCCTGACAATCCGGGCACCATGGTGCAAACTGTCCAGCACCCCAACCAAAGAGCTGGCTTCTTGCGTTTCTTTCTTACCTCTGCGTTGTCATATCTGGTGAAAAGTTAACAGTCCATGGGACAGGCTGGACAGAGCACAATGCATTGAACCTTCCCAACATCGGAAGCACCCCCCAGTGCCATATTCTATGCCAATTAGCTAGGCTTATCACTGGTAGACTCAAGCTTCCTGGGCTGTGCAGTCAGTCAGGGGTGATGCTGGGCAGCTTTAAGTGGAGGATCAGCTGTTGCCCATGCATTAAATCAACCCAGCACCCCACCCCACCAACTAATAGAGGAAGGCAAAATCCAATTTTGGTTTGTATCAGAAACGTTGAAAGAGCTGAATGAAGGGTTTTGAAGACAACCTCATACTGCCTTACGACTCCAGATTTCCTTCTGCCTTTCCCATGAATGGGTAAAGCTGCATGGCAGCAGGAATGTTTTGGCAACCAGCCAAGGCTGGCGAGACCCTCTGGTTTTGAGCTGCCAGATAGCCGCATGTCCCCTAAGCAAAGTAAATTTCCAGTGATAATTCTAGCCAATTAAACAATGCCACAGCTTAAAATTTCGTCAACATATCGCTGGCAAGTCAAATGTCCACTCACAATAATCAAATCAGCTTGCCTGTCTGTGAATCCGAGGCAAAAACATTGATTCGTCTGAGAAAAATGGTCTAAGGCCATTAGTGCACAACTCCTCCCTGAAGTTGCCCATTCCACCACAAACTTTGCCGCCTTTTTTACACTGTTAGGGTAACACCCTTCACAGGAAGCCTTGCTCCAATGCGGGCTGCATAAAGCCGTTTTTTAACGGTTGAAAAACGCTTTCATTCACTTGCACGGAAGTCTCTATTGATTACACGAGCAAATATGTCTCTATTACGTAGTGCAATTAGTGTAATGAGATTATCTTTTTGAGGTGTCATGTTTTAGGCCTGCCACGCCCAGGTCTCATTGCAACCCTATCTGTTTTATGGTATTTGTCCCACAGTCCAGAACTTACATCTTTTGATTCGGGCAACTTTGGATGTTGACGTCCCCCCGTCTATTTGCCATTTTGTCTGTTCATTGAGATATTGTCCCAGAGACAGTTTTAAGTGTGTTCCTAGCTCAATTGCATCAGTGATTGTGAGTTCCCCTATATGTGCACACAGTTTGGCTTCTGTTTGCACCATGCATCACATCCTCTTTTATGCATGATGTGAAACTTTATTGTGATTTTATTTTGCGTTGAGATGCAACGCCTTGGTATTGTAGATGTACATTTAGCTGCATTCAAATCCTTAGTTCCCTCATTTTCTGTCAGTTGTACATATTGTGTCAATTTAATAATGAAACGTTCACAATCTTTAATCTTCTGATGTTGAGAGATGCGCGTAATGTTTTCTTCAGCAGATCGGAAGACCTAGGAAACAAGCATAAGTTGATCATGACACTCATGATGTCTTGAAATACTTGCATAGTATCTACATAGTACCTTTCAAACGGTTTCGTGTCATATGTGAAGGATGTTTATCTTAAGCTTGACATATCGTCCATGTTTGGCATTTCCATATTAGGCTTCGGTTTCATCGGTTCCCAAAATATAATCATTTGTTTCACTTTCGGATGAATTAATAATTTGTCCGATGAAACCCCTATACATTTTTTGGACATCGTCTTATATGGATGTGAATCAGTGACGTGAGTCCTCCTTGGCTCTAAAGGTTCGCGTATCATACAGCAAGGCATCTTTGGATTGGGCATCTATCTGTCTGTTGTGATCCCTCGATTTAGATCTGTTTCTTTTCTTCTTTCCATCCTTATTTGTCCGCGGAACGTGGCCATTGATTGCGCTAAACACATCATAATCAGTGGGCATCGTGTTTTGCATCAGTCTTGCTTCCAAATCAGAAGAAAAAGTTGTGTATCGGTCATCAGAATCCAAGCCTGTTGAATCATTCTGAGCTGTGGGTTGTTTCCGGGGCTTTGATCTCTTGCGTGCCCTACTGACTCCACTTCTTGGACGGCTCTCAGTACCATTTTCCAGGAAAGGCCTCCTGCCTCTTGGAGTATCAACTTGGATAGGTGGCATCAGATCAAGACTGTTATCGCTTGCCATTTTGGGGTCAGTGGTGTCTCCATGACGGGTAGATATCATTCCGCTTGAGTACCTCGAACTTTGTAGTGTCTGTCTTTTTTTATATTCGATCTTTTCATATGCAGCATCACTGTTATAACAAAGCAGAATCACATTAGAAATACGCGTCGTTGCAATTAAGATTTTATGTGTGAGTTTTTGTAAACACTGCAGTCAACAATTTTAATTATTTCATTGCGATAATTTCGTACAAGATCAAATAATTTATTCTTTTAAATATATTATTTATAAGAAATCATTTACCATTCACATCTTGACGGGTCGCTGCCTGAAACAGGAAGGCATTTATAAAAATCACTTGTAATTTAACAATTGGTTATTACGTATGTCATTTACATAGAGGCTGACGGGATCGAGAGAGAGAGAGAGAGAGAGAGTACTAGTCCGGACCCATGCAGTGTCATATGTGTTGTGCGTGTCACGCGCGCGCTTGAGTGTCTTAGTGTGTGTGTATGTGTACTTCAGAAACTGTTTGTTCTAGTCCGCGTTTGCCTGTGTGTATGTGTATGTGTGGAGCGTGTCTTAGTGTGTGTATGTGTACTTTAGAAACTGTTTCTTTAAGTCCGCGTTCGCGTGTTTGTATGTGTGTGTGCGAGTGGAACTGCTTGTACTAGTTGGGACTTATATAATGCCATGCAATGTGTGTGTGTGTGTGGTGTTTGAGAAACCGTTTGTGCGAGTTCCGGCACATGCCATGTCATATGCGTGTGTCATGTGACTGTGTATGTGTCGCGCACGCGCTTGAGTGTCTTAGTGTGTACTTTAGAAACTGTTTCATCTATTCCGTGTTCGCATGTGTCTATGTGTGTCTCTTGTGTGTGTGCGAGTGAAACTGCTTGTACTAGTTGGGACTTCGTGTGTGTGTGTGAGAGAGAGAGAGAGAGAGAGAGAGAGAGAGAGAGAGAGAGAGAGAGAGAGAGAGAGAGAACCGCTTGTGCTAGTTCGGGCACATGCCATGTCATATGCGTGTGTCATGTGACTGCGCACGCGTCTTAGTGAGTGTATGTGTGCTTTAGAAACTGTTCGTGTCCTCGTTCGCGTGTGTGTATGTATGTGTGCTGTGTGTGTGCGAGTGAAACTGCTTGTACTAGTTGCGACTGATATTATGCCGTGTCTGTGTGTGTGTGTCTGTGTGTGTGTGTCTGTGCGTGTGTGTCGCTAGTTCGGGCACATGCAATGTCATATGCGTGTGTCATGTGCCTGTGTTTGTGTCGCGCACGCGCTTGACTGTGTAAGTGTGTGTATGTGTGGTTTAGAAACTGTTTGTTCTAGTTTGCGCGCGTGTTGGTATGTGTATGTTTTGAGTGTGAGTGCGTGTGAAACTGCTTGCACTGTGTACTCTGTTGCATAACTTAATAACTTACAGATACACTTTCTGCTGGTTTCATCTTCTGTATGTATATCGGCATCTGTCAACGAATACAAAGGGATAATACATTTCTGGTAAGTATAACAAAATAAATTAAATCACAAGAACATCATGAGATATCGGACTGATTTATAATATTACCTTCATGACACGTGAAAGCAGTGCCAGTACCCCAATCCATATTATGATGAACATTCTAACATGTATTGAAACTGTTTCTTCTAGTGTATGTAATCATGATATACCCCTTTTTCATGCAAATGTCCATTGCATAAAAAAGGGTTTAAGGAGTGACTCTTTTATTCTAGGACACAATGGCCTAATACTGGCACTACATGATCTTGTCCAGATCTTTATAGACTGGCAGTACATAACACAATATTACTTCAAAACAACACATCTGTCTTCCGACTCTGAGATCTACCTCACGAATGTGGTTCCACGCTGTTTGGTCAGATATCCTTACAGTACTGGAATTGCTGTTGTTATGGATAATGCTCTTTTATACTTTGGCCGCAAATGACGTAGCCATTTGAAGCGGTCCTTGGCCTCGTTCCACAAAGCGATTTTAGAACTACAATTGTTGTAACCTTATGTTGACCTGCGTCGATCACATGACGTACCATGCTCTTGTACTCGTACGAAATTCTGGAGAATATTCTCAGGGATAAGTTGAATACATCAAATGTGATTCTCCTGCCCAAATCATTCGACGACTTCGTTCGTAATGAGTTATGCTACAGTTAATTCGGACTGAATAGTTCCTGACAGACGTTTTTTTTCGTAACCCAATCGAGAACTCAGCACGTTTATAGACCTACCTATTCATGTTTCACGTGCACCAATCCCGGGGTTTTGACATGGGGTTATATTTCTGTGTTATTACGTTTGGGGAATGCTTAAGGTCGTAACTGCGTTTTGATGATTCAAACAATGACATTATTAATTTGATACCAGATGGAATATTATTATATGTTTCAGATATCGTGTGCGTTCTAATGTATTTCATATATTATGTATGTCAAAGCACCTGTGCGTTTCTATTGTTAAAGAGCATTTGTCAAGAAAAGCTTGATCATATCATCTTTACTTGAAGTTTTGACACGTCGTCATTGTTTGCTAAGTTATCCGAAAGTGATCCGAAATCACGTGTAATGACTTAGAATATTATACCAAAACCCTACTTACAATCATGGTGCTCTTCCTCATCACATGTATCTGAGTAGGAAGTTGAAGGCATCCGTTCTGCAATTGAACAAATTATAAATACAAAACACGTTGTCTTTAAGCGGAATAAAGAACCACCACTACCAGTAGACTAGGCTGACTTATTTATTTAAATACATTCTTTCAATGCAGGTATCAGTACCTTTATCAAGCAAGTAGTCAATCGGATGTTAATCATGACATTCCCAGTTGTTTATCGTGAGGATGATTGTTGTTGCATTAAACGAGGAACAGAAATAATTATAACAAGAATCTTACCACGAGTAGATGACTGGTATCATTGGATACACTCTCATTTTCATTCTATGGAATATATATTACAAATTTCATTTTGTTAAACAGCAAAGGGGCAAGGCTGAGCAAATTGTTATCAAGAAATATTGAACGGTCTTTTGACGGACAACACTCATCCATATATACCCCAACTTTGTGGCGGGGATAACAAACATTACTGAGTAAAAGTACTTGGCGTTCGGCGCACTGAAGTCGGAGAGTCCAGCAGTCTTGTTCTGGTAATTCTTACTTACCTATGGTCTCTAACTGTTCTGGAGGTCGGTTTGTTGGTTTGTTTGTCGATAGTGGTGGCAGCGATGATGTGGGGCTTTGGTTTTGACTAAACCAATAAGAAAACAGACTCGTAATGTAGCTGAAAATAACATCTGTGCTACCAATACTTGCTTCCATTGAGAACACTGAGATGGACCCATTTACTTTGCATTGTCAAAGTGTATTATATTGTGAACTAAACAGATGAGATGCTATTAAATTTTGTCCACACACTTGTCCCCAATCAACTTTCAAGGATTGTTTCAACCTGAAGGAGAATATTTGTACATTAGTATCCTGCCCCTACGGTGGCAAACACATGCAGCCTTAAATGTGCAGGGTTAACTGGTTAATACAGAACACGCGCTCTCTTACAGATACTATTCAATTTCTCCTGGGTGGGTATCAAGTGGAAGCTCGTTAACATGGTAGCCAGCTGTGAATAAGACTTTCTAAAAACCTGTATTTCTTCTATTGAATTCATTCTGTCGACATTTTGTCTTATTTGACACATGCAAATGCCCACAGAAGATGTAGTAAACATTTTTAATACCCACCAACTGGACATTTCTCACAGTGAAACCTTTACAGTCCATTGAGAATTATTCGGGATGTCCATGCTTTCCACGCAAAAACTCAATAGCTGGTGGCACAGACGGCTTCTGTGTTTTACCTTTTCATTGATTTTCAGACAATAAGTCAATATTTGACTGGATTGCAGAAACAACACGTGATATCTTGAGTTAGTTTCCCCATATGTTTTTCAAATATATATTGCCATTTTCGGCTGTTTTTAACATTTGTAGGAATGATAAGGAATCAGAGAAAATGCTGAAATGTTTATATTTATTTTGTTTCTGAATATATGTCAATGTTGTTTAAATAGCCTTGGCTTCAGCAGTAAATCTGGAGCTATTGTCTAGTAATCTCGAACAAAGAAGGTTTGATCCAATGATGTTGGTTAAACAAATTTGTCATCATCCTTGGATCCACCAGTAAAGATTGGACAAATTCTTTCTGAAATATAGTTAAGGATGGAAAAACGGGTTTAATTTTAATTTAGTGATATATTGTTAGTTTTAGAGAATTTATAGCCGTTGGCAAGCGGTCGTTTATGTCCTTTATTGAGACATAATTGTAGCTGTCTCACAAAAGTATGCATATAAATCATCTACAAGAAGCGACCCATCTGCTGAATAGCTCAAAACTTCCCACCTTCGACAAGGATGTGCATGAAATAATTTTGGAGACATACTTCCTCCAGGATTTGTGCTTATTTTGTTATTAAGCACGTCATGCCTTGGCACCAGAAATGTTAACATTGTCAATAAGAACACGTGATTAATAATTGTGTATTCTTTCAAGGTCCTACTGGCCTTTGGGACAGTTGTCACTAACAACCAGAAGTAGATCTCTGACAGAAGAATTGGGTTTATCTCCAGTCCATCTGCGGTGGATGGTAAGATCGGCTAAGTATTCCTATACTGAACAACAAAAGTTCCTGTGACATTGAATAAGATTTAATGCAAAGTTATGTTTTTTACCAAACCTGAAACAATTTCGGTTTGCAACAGATAAAAGACTCCTGGAAGTGTTCAAATGGTTTAATTTACCATACTGACTTCAGAAAATGCGTGATTTCATAATAAAAAACATGAACATGCCAAAATGTCAATTTACAAATCAATAGCATGTGTGTCCACCTCTGGTTGCGAAGCAAGCAACACATCTTCGTCTCATGGAGTGGACCAGGCGTCGCACAAAGTCCTTTGGGATATCTTTCAATATCTGCTGGAGCATGTTTCGAAGCTCCTGGAGTGTCTGTGGAACACGTGGTTGACGTCGAAGGCGCCGATCCATCTCATCCCAAATGTGCTCGATTTGTGAGAGATCAGAGGAGCGAACCGGCCACGGGATGACATTCACGTTGTTTTGTTGAAGGGGATCCTGAACAAGTCGAGCAATTTGAGGCCGGGCGTTATTATGTTGAAAGGTAATGCCTGGGCCATGACGACGCAAAAACGGTAGAACAACAGGGCCGATGATCTTGTCGCGGTAGCGCTGTCCATTGAGATTTCCCTCTACCACTATCAAACGGGTCCTCGGTCTTGCTGTAATCCCACCCCATACCATAACGCTGCCGCCCCCGAACCGATCTTCTTCCATGACACAATGATTGACGTAACGTTCACCTCGACGTCGGTACACTCGAATCCGTCCATCGCTGTGGCTGAGGTGGAAACGAGACTCGTCAGTGAATAGAACTTGAACACACTGCATGGCCGTCAAGCGTAGACGTGCTTGACGGTGGCTTCCTGTCAAAATGGGACGTCTGGCGGGTCTTCTGGCGACAATCCCTGCACATCTGAGGCGGCGACGTACGGTTTGTGAAGATACTCGTCGAAGGCAAGGGATGCTTCTTGCAGTCACTGTTGCTAGCTGGAATCGATTTCGTAGGTGTGTTGTTCGAATCCAGTTGTCTTGTCGATTATTGGTTACGCGTAGCCTGCCACTCCGAGGATGGATTCTCTAATGACGGTACATTATGCCATTGCATGCTGCTGCTTGATACTAGTGTTTGAAACGTCTGGTTTCGTTGTTCATGTACTGCAGTACTGTGTTCGAGTCTGTCCATGACAACACAACACAAGACGCTCTTATCTCGTCATTTAAAGAATTCAAAAGTCGGAGTGCCAACAGAGCTCCTGGCAATTCGAGTCTTCGAGTTGAAAGAGTAGCTTTCAGTGGGGCAAAATAAGTCTTGGCAGCAACAACGGAACATGAGATACCTTGACTATGAGCATATCGCAGATACGTCACAGCATCAAATCCCTTCTCTGATGTGTCACAAAAGTGACGAAGCTCCATCCAATCAACATAAGATTGGATAGGTTCGTGACGGCGACGTCAACATCAGGAACGGCAATTTGGCACCGTATCAGCCGATCCACAGTCACACGATGCCTACGGGGTATGGGTATCAGGGCCTATCGTCCACTGCCTGAAATTGGTTTGCCTCTCAGACATCGACAAGCTCGGTTGCCTTGGGCAAGGACTGTTCGACGTTGGCAGCGGCGTTTACTTTTCATGGACGAACGTCGATTCTTAATCCTCATTGCTGATGGCAGAATCTGTGTTTACAGAAGAAGAGGCGAGTGATTGGCACCTGGGTGCGGCCAATAGTACTACCCAAATGGACGAGGTGGTGTTATGCTATGGGAAGGAATTTGCTGTGATAAGAAAACTTGCCCATTGATCATAAATGGTAACCTAAATGCACAAAGGTGTCAACACGAGCTTCTTCAACCGGCGGTTTAACCTTTCTTACGTGAACAGCCGCAGTTAACCTTTTTGCAGCAAGTCAATGCAAGGCCACATACTGCTCGAATTGCCAACCAAAATGTTCAACCGGATATGAACCCTACTGAACACTTGTGGGACCACTTGGACAGACAACCGTGAACTTTCAGAGGCGTAGATCAATATAGGTGCGATCATTCTGTCGAACAAGAACATTGATGCATTCACATTGATCTTATAACGTTTAATAAACCTGAACAGCAAAAATGTGGCTTACTCAGCTTGTGACAAGTGTATGCATGTTTTAGGTGTAGGTGTGAAATGGATACTGAGACATGCCCGTCATGGTTGCATTTTCCAGTTGTTTTAAGCTGCCTGCATCATCTGAGTACCATGATCTTAGTATTTTGTTTATTCACTATCATGCCATAATTATTGTAAAACGTACATAAAACATCGATTTGTTGCTGTAATCTATACCCGCTGTCTGCAACATTTACCATGTCATCAGCAAATAATAAGGTGGTGACAGTTTCAAGAAGATTACCAAAATATGTACCTCTGCAGTCGGACTGTTTGATCATTTCAATAAGGTCATTTAAAAACAAAATAAATAATGTAGGGCTTTTCATACAACCCTGTCTCGGTCCAAAACTGCAGTCACAGAAATCACTTAAACCGTAACTTGTATTTTCACAAGAACGTAGCTGCGAATACATTGACTTCAAAACATTATATACAGAAAGTGTGGAAAATCAACAAAAAATACATACATACGGACTTTCTTCTTAGATAAGTACTTTTGAATAACAGACAAATTAAATATATTTTCGGTGGTACTATAACCTCTTCTATAGCCAGCTTGCTCCTCGTACACTTTACCTTTGGACTCTGTCCAAGCTATAATTCTTTTATTTATTATTTTTGTAAAACGTTTGCCAACTACATTAAAACGTTTTTGTGAGTCGATCCTCGCATAACTCGAAGTATTTACTAAGGTCCCTTCAACCTCGACACAACGGTGTTTGACTGTACTTTAATTATATAGAGTACATATAGTATTTCGACATAAAGCACACACTGTACTCCCGTTTATAGGCTTATAAAATATGGGAACAGTCAGTTTCAAACGGCCATGACAGTGAACAAAAACAATATGAAGAAATTATTTATAATATTAAAGTAAATGAACAACCAATGAAGGCATGTTGCCTTCACTGATAGTCATCCTGATATCGGATATTTGGTCTATAAAAATTATATGGGTCATTTCGCAAAAGTGACAGCAATGAATATCGCCACCCCTGGTTGCATTCCTTGCAGCGTGTCGCCGAACAAGTGTCTTTTATATTGCCTGAGGGATTGCTTGACACTCTGCTTGAAGAAACTGGATGAGTTATTGAAAATATACTGGGCGCGGATAGGTAACATGACCCCGTCGACCAAGAACGTGCCAAATCCGGTGTGACGCGAGACTCATAGGTGAACAACACATGCGGTGAGCATATCTGTGAGGTGTCAAAAGAGGTGGTCTCAGAGCTGAATGACTCGATTGTATCCTGGAATCCCGAAGACGGCTTCTATGGTCTCTGTACTGACATTCACGTATGTGAATGCCTATAGCAGGAGTCTCAATGCACGAGCTGTGGTGATGCAGTGCTTAACCCTCTAGGTGCAACGAGACCATAAGTGGTCTCTGATCTTTCACACCCCCTTGTCCTATTTTAACTGTGAATTAAGATGTCAAACACTGAGAGCTCGTAATCA